CAGCTAGGCCCTGGCCACAATGTAAAACCTAAACACAGTTTGAAACACAGTATAATGAACACTTCTCTACAGTGCTCATCTCCATTTCTAAGCTGAAGAGCCATTGTTGTCCGTAGGCACCTCCAAGGTCATGCAGCCAGCATGACTGTATAGAGCGCAGTTACCTTCCCGCTGGAACGGTACCTATTGATCTATTGACATTTGCATGTTTTCAAACTGCTAGGTTGGCAGAAGCTGGGGCTAACAGCGGGAGCTCAACCTGCTCCCCGGATTTGAACCAGAGACCTTTTGGTCAGCAAGTTCAGCAGCTCAGCGGTTTAACCCACTGTGCCACCGGGCAGTGATTCTATACATCAAAGTAATATTCATCACATGGCAAAATAAAGGTTTGCCTTTCCCCCAAAATATTATTGAGCTGTGATTGGCTAAATCCACAGGTACAGAACTTCATGGGCATAAGAGAGCTTGTTTTAGGAGGTAAAGGTACACAGGAGAAAATCTTAAGCATCCTTCATTCTTGAAATCAGAGCTTGAAAGACAAAGCTTGGAATGGCTTTTTAAATCACAGTTTCCCTTATCCTGCAGCCAACATGCCCTCCGGTCTGCTCTCTGTGGTTCTTCTTACATTCCTACACAGCAGCATAAGCACGTTTCTCATGAAACAGACTTATTTTCAGAACGAGAACCAAGGTTATTGGGATGCTGGATGGTGCATTCATAGCAGACCCAAAATTTAACTGGGAATATGTTAAAACTGCTTCCTGGGAGAGTGGCAGTTGCAGTAGCTTGTTAAAGAAACCTGAATTTCTCTTTCTTTAAGGGTTTCAGCTTAATAATTATCTGCTTCAGCTCATTGTTCTCCGATATGCTGATGATCAGTACCAGATTGAATTTGATGATTTCTTAAACTGCCTAATTCGCCTAGAAAATGCCAGCAGTGAGTATTCTTTAATGTTATCTTTATTAGTTCCTTTGAAAGCCTTTTAATTTTCATTAATATGTGTTGCATGATGAGCAATAGAGGTCATTCTAACTCCCTTGGTTTTTGTAGGACTTCATCACCTACTAAATATTCTTAAATTATGGGCAATGAGTTTTGCCGTGTTTACCTTTGACATTCTGATTCTATGATCTTTATCTTTCAGTGTCATTGTTTCTTGAACATTATTGTCTTTTAATACTTATATTTAAACTGAACAGCTATATATGGAGTCACTGCAGATAAAACATTTGACAAATGCTGACGTTTGTGTAATTCTTAAGATTTAAAGTCTCAGCAGCAAGTGCTAGGAAAGTGTTGATATTCGCAAGCTCAAAGAAATGCTCAAAGCCAAATAGGCACTTTCAGAAAGTGTCCAAATGTCTCCTTCATTCAGTCATTTATTGGGGCAGAACATTCTTTATGTCATGAATACATATCATCAACAAACCTCCATGGCACAAATATTTCTGACATATTCCCCTAGGAGTCCTGAACTCTCCCTGGTAAATATTAACATTCACCATGTTTGTCACAATTATGGAAACAAGAGTTCAACAAAAACGGTATTATGTAGTAATACTGATTACTATCTAGATAAATAAAAATGTAGTGTTTGTTTGTGGGATTAACATAACTCAAAAACCACTGGACAAAATGACACCAAATTTGGACACAATACACTTATCAAACCAACGAGAGACCATCACTCATAAAAACACTGAAAAACACAGCAGAAGGGACTTAAAAGCCAAAAAAGCAAAAAGATGCTATAGCGCATGCACAAAATGATTCCCCTGGCAAACAAAACACACAGTAGCATATACACACTCTCTTCTGGACTACAGCTCCCAGCTTCCCCTAGACCAGGCCCTTTAGGAGAGGAGGATGATCCAAATGCACTACTTCCAAAATGCAAGCTTTCTTCTCCTTGGATTTCTTTGAGAGCATCCCAATCCCTGCATATTTCCATTTTCCTATTCCTGGACTGCAACTCTCAGCAATCCTCCAGATAAATAAGTTAGATAGAGATAAGTAGGTAGATAGATAGATCAATAAGGAGGACTGCTGGGAGTTGCAGTCCAAGAATAGGTAGAGAAGAACGGGGAGAAAGAGGAAGGGAAAGAAAAGGGGGGGGGAGGAAGAAAAGGAAGGAAGGAGAGAAGGAAAGAGAAAAAAAGGGAAGGAGAGAAAGAAAGGAGAGAAGGAAGGTTGGCCACAGCAATGCATGGTGGGTACAGATAGTATTGAATAATATACTGAATAATATCTACTTTCACATTCTTATTATTATTTTAGGAGTGTTCCAGGCATTAAGTATGAAAAATAGAGACTTCATTAACCTGAATATAGGCGAGGTAAGCATCTTAAAGTGTAAAATACTTTGATTTTTTTTTTTGGAGTATATTATTTTCACTTTGATGCTTTGCTTTTTCAGTTCCCTTTTCCCTCTTCTACTTCTCCCATTTCACTTTTTTATGGGATCATTTTGCTGTCAACATAAATGATCGTAACCAATAGTAGTAGGATCCAGGACCAATGACTTGACTTGTGGGCGAAGCTTCTTACACTATTTTTGCTAAACAACTTAGAGGAGATAAGGAAAGCTTATGATTTAACATCTTTTTTCTTCTACTACTAAAACCAAGGTATATTCTATAATTATAATGTCTCCTTGCACTTCCAAACCATCCCATATTAAGGCAGAACATGTAGAAGCCAAAATCTTTGCACCAAAACTGTGAAAAATTGACACCATCACTTTAACAGTTGTCCTGTCTCTTTCTTTTTTTAGTTTATCAACTTGACAATGAACATTTGAAGACCTCCAAACTGTTTTTCAGTCAAACAACAAGGAGCCTCTCAAATTAAATCTGGAATTTTTCCAAGAACTCTTGAAGATGACTTTGAACTTTTTATTTTCATATCGTCCACCCTTTCTTATATTCACCTTGTTCCCGCTGCTATTTAAATTATGCTTATGTTAAAAATATATATGGATAAGTACTTAATTGGGAGATAATGTTTACTACACAGTGATATATATTAAAATGTATTGCACCTCAATAAAGTTCCAGTCACACAGAATGAGAACAATTACTGCCATTTTACAAAATACAATTATCTCAGTTCCCAGTAAAATTGCCAGACAGATGAATGATTTTGTGTCATCCTTTCATTTCTCCTTTTTGTGCAGGTGTTGAACAGAAAAGTGAAATACAATAGGTGGGGGCGGTCCCATGAGGAGCATTACATTGACCTTGTCACCAAGAGCTAGTGGATTTTGATGCCAATAAGGAAAATGACCAGAGATGCAACAATATGATTTTAGGGTGCACCCAGTCACTCAAATGTAATGCATTTTGGTCTCTTTAGGCAAGCCCTTCAAAAAAATTGGAAATTCCCAATCCATTTGGTCAATGTTCTCATGACATATGTTATATAAAACCTGTGGGCAACCCAGATAGGGTTGGTTGGGCTGCAATCCTCATAATCCTTGGTCTTTGGTTTGCTGGCATGCCAACATCTGGAAGTTCTGTGCACTTTTTGTTGTTGTTTATTCGTTCAGTTGTTTCCAACTCTTCATGATCTCATGGATCAGCCCACGCCAGCGGTCCCTGTCGGCCATCACCAACCCCAGCTCCTTCAAGGTCAATCCAGTCACTTCAAGGATAACATCCATCCATCTTGCCCTTGGTCAGCCCCTCTTCCAATTTCCTTCCATTTTCCCCAGCATCATTATCTTCTCCCAGCTTTCCTGTCTTCTCATTGTGTGACTAAAGTACTTCATCTTTGCCTTTAATATCCTTCCCTCCAGTGAGCAGTTGGGCATTATTTCCTGGAGTATGGATTGGTTTGATCTTCTTGTGGTCCAAGGTGCTCTGTTATAGAGATACAAGTATTAAGTGGGCCTTAACCCCTTAATACCATATCAGAAAGCACTTATTTACATGCAGCTAAATCATTTCAGCTCTTCTATTCTTCCTTGTGACCTCATGTCCTACATGTTCTGCATATTCTCTTGTTCCTCTTCCTAATGTGCTTAACAGTCTCCAGCTGACTTCATTAATTGCATTGTACTTTTCCACAGACAGGACCAGCAGAGCAGCCAAACACAACTTTTCTAACTTTCCTATGTGGGTGGCAGGAGCACTGGAAGCTTAGCACTATCATTTGGCATGCCACAACACATGTCAAGCTATGGAGGAAGAGATCACTTGCACATTAAAAACATGTAAGGAATGAATGACCTCCCATCATTTTCTAGATTCCAGCTGCTTATCCTTGCCAACATCCTGTTGTTACTGTTCTAGTTGCCCAACGTCTTTGTATTTGTGGGTCCAGAGAAAGAGAGGATTTAACACACTTATATTGCACACACTTTCTGGGTGGATGTCCAGATGTTCTCCCAGAACTTACTGGGAGAACACTGGAACCCCCTCCCCAAGAAAGTGAAAATTAAATTTTCTCATAATCAAAATCTGTGCCAAGTCTTACTCAAGAGGGGTCTCAAGGTGCCAGTTCAGAATTTAGTAATGTATGATTAGCTGACAAATATGGATCCCTTTTTGTTAAAAAATATTAGAGGTGTTGGCCATCCAATCTACATCACTATGGAGAAGGAAAAGAGAGTTCTTCTTCATGTATTAGAGTTCTTATCTCAGGCAGAGGCCTTTGTTAATTCTTTGAATGAAAAGAAGAAGGCAATGCTTCTAGCTATGTTTTTAATGTCAAGTTTTGCCATCAGTTTGAAGATTATTGCAATCTGCATTTTTAGTTTATTTGTCCCAGTAGCAATATAAAGTAAAGGTAAAGTTTTCCCCTTGTCATTAAGTCTAGTCATTTCCGACTCTTGGGAGTGGTGCTCATCTCCATTTCTAAACCAAAGAGCCAGTGTTGTCCATAGATGCCTCCAAGGTCATGTGGATGGCATGACTGCATGGAGTGCCGTTACCTTCCTGCAGAAGTAGTACCTATTGATCTACTCACATTTGCATGTTTTTGAACTGCTAGGTTGGCTGAAGCTGGGGCTAACAGTGGGAACTTACCCCGCTCTCCAGATTCGAACCACTGATCTTTCTGTCATCAAGTTCAGCAGTTTAACCCGCTGCACCACTGGGGGCTCCTAGTAGCAACATATGAACTCCATAATTAGTGATGCAATGGTCTTCTAGGTTGGTTATAAAATTAAATTCCAAAGTTCAACGACAATATCTCACTAGTTCTTTGTGCTTTGAGTAATGGACTTTCAAATAGAGATTACAAAAATATATCCAGGTTGAAAACAGATTGCCTTGTGTCCTAAATATGTGGATTTGTAACACTGATCTGATTCATTTTCTAGAGAACACATGTGACTGAAGAGCAGATTAACAGGTCATGTCAGAAACATAACTTTCTTGTGTTGATATTCCTGGAGGGCAGGAGCACATATTTTTTCCAGGGAAAAAAATGACTGAAAGTTACAGAGAACATGTGAAATGTGGCAAAAACATATCTGTGTGTCATTTGAGCATTAACATTTGTTAAAAAGAACTGTTTCTAGCTTTGTCAAGATTTCATCAGAATTATTAACTACATGTAATCCCAGCAGGCAAATTCAGACTGGCTTTAACTGTATCGTACTCTCTCATTTACCTGTCCCAGTACCACATTTACAGGTTTTGTGCTGGATGAAAGTGTAGCATCATTGAATGCTGACTTTTGTGCTATGCATTCTCAGCTCAGGCATTTGGCCAATCTATTTAAGAAACAAATGGTACATAATATGGAAGGAGAACTCATTTATGGCACGAATGGTCAATTTCCTAGAATAGAAGTCTCATGGACTGACCAACCTGGGACTACACCACTGCCAATATCATTTAGCAGTTTCTGCTGCCAAAATTGCAAAAAACAATGACATCTACAATTTCCAGTTCTGGATTGTCCCAGGCTCTGAGATTTCAAGGACAAAATCCAAGATGCCCCTGAAGATGCACTAAATATGAACCAGTTTGACTTATAGCTTGTCATTCAAACTCACAACATATTGATTCCATTTCAGAAATTAAAATAGAAATCTTACCTAATGGGTTTGTTCCCAGATCAAGGTGAAATGATAAGGTTATTCCTTCTCATTACTTAGGGAGTTGGGATAGAGAATATTTCATCTAGTCAGCTTCCTTCTTTCTAGACAGTTAATAGATGCAGAGTGGAGGGTGAAGCTTGGCATCATAACAACTGAGAGGGAAGGAAGAAGCTAAGTAGTTATATTTATATAAAACAACAAACAAACAAACAACAAAACTTTATTTATATCCCACCACCTCTCCCTGTGGGGACTCAAGGTGGCTCACAGACATAATAAGACAAATATTCAATGCCATGTATTGTAATAATACAATTTAAATAAAATACAATTTAAATAGTATAAAACAAATAGTTATAAAAGCAATAATAACCATCCTAAGAAACACATTCAAACAACATTAGTAAAGGGAAAATTTAAAAGCCCTGGAGTGACTTTGCAAGTTGGGGCAAGAAATCCATTAAGCTTTGTGAACTTGTAGCAAGCTTTTGCTCTACTAGCTGAACTGGAGATTTGTGCATAGCCCTTTCTTCTGGAGATTTTCACCATATCCCACCTGGAGATGAGGGTGCAAATTCCCACCTGGAGATGACCCATGAAAATTCCAGGGCAATGCAATTGGTAACAGCAGCAGTTCTTTATACCACAAGGGTGTCTTCTTCCTTCTGAAAGGGAAGAGGGAATTTCCAGCCCTTGAATGCTACTAGAACTGATTTTCAACTGTGTTCATACAAAGGCAACCTGGGAGTCAGTAAGTGTTTCAAAAGCAGGTGAAAGCACAGCTTTGTATTGCCCATTCCTGATGCCTTCCACACAGCACAACTAGAACTGTATGATTTCACTTTAACTGCCAGTAGCAACATCTTATGGAAACTTGGGATTTGCATAGGGAGGATGACTTTGAATCCTCATGCCTCACCAAACCACAGGATTTCATAGGATGCATTCATGACAGTTAATGTGGAATTCACTGTGCTATAATTGTGCAGAGTGAAGGGTCCCTGATTAAGAAGGGTTGTGGCCAAAGCCAGAACATCAACAGTTTCTGCTCACAGTGGTCCTTTGCCACAGAGGTAAACAAGTTACAGGTGTAGCAGCTGATTTCATCCACAGTAAGTGCTTAGACTCTTCCCTTGAAGGCTCTGCACAATAGGAGCATCAATCCATGCAAGATATGAGATGTTATCCAAAATACACAATATTCCTAACGTAAGTATTTTAAAATAAATGTTTTGCATTTACAGTCCTACTAGTATCATCTGGCTCCTCCCATTTAAAATATCAATATAAAACTGTATTTGCATTTCTTTGTCATATGTCTACACTTCTCCACCCCCTTCCAAGGGTTTATCCAAAGTAGACTGTGACTCATTTGTTAAGGGAAGTGGGTTTTACACCTGTTTTTGATGAAGCAGTTTAAATTCAGCTCCCTTTGGCTCAGAAAGAAGCATTTTGATGTGTTTGAAATGTCCTATATCTGGAAGTCATAAAAAATGTCCTACATCTGGAAGACATAAAAACTGGGGAGGATAACTGTGTTTGCCCTCACAGAAAGACCATTTGAGATGGCAAGAATTCATTTAAAACACTTTTGGATACAATTTCTGGTAATAGTATCTTGCAGGTATGGGAATTACTGGCTTCCTGGACTGCAACTACCACCAGCCCTTGCTAACATGACTTATAGTGAGGTATTATAGGAGGCATATCCCAACAGCATCTGGAAGGCTGGATTATTCCATCCCCAGGCTGCAAAATAATCTTTGTCCCATTGTTTGACATAATAAAATTTGGTGGCAGGATTCATTGCAGACCCAAAACATCCGATGCTTCATTAAGTGACCATATTTTTGCTTCTTTTCATATAACACAAGCACCAAAGATCCCCTCATACTTTTTTTTCAACTGGATTCCCAAAAACATCTGTAATGAAAATAACCCTATGAATATGGGAGCTGTGGAAAGTTTGAAGATTTTTATGTAGGGACTGCAAGAAAATGGGCAACTACTATAGAGACAAGAGGAGATGCTTCCAAACGAACCCGAGATTTTAATGTGAATTTATCCGAGGCATTGAACCCTATCCC